GAAGAGATCGATCGGCGAATTAGAATGGCCAGTGGCGTTATGCTTGAAGCAGCCCGAACCATTATGACTAAATCAAAGCCGCGTTTGAAGACTAAGCTCTCTGTGTTTGAGTCTTAGAGAACAACCTTCGCTTCTCCAGATTTGGTCACAACCCTGATTCTTTGGGTACATTTTGCGAATGCATCTCGAGAGGAAGAGAAAACAGTCAATACCTGCTCGATCTACTCAGCGGATGACCCATGAGATAACTAAAAATATCCTGAGACAAGTGCCTTGGCGGATTTTGCTCGAGATTTGGGGTTCTCTTGTGCTGAATCTCGACGCTGGCGCGTGATAGGGAGCGTTGCAATCATTTTCTGATGCCTCCGTCCTTTCGACCGGAAAGAATGAGCGATAGCCAAAATGCACTGAATCATCATATGTTCCATTCAGTTACAATTAACCCATTTTCCCAACTAGCTATAAATGCTTTTGTATCATTTTTGAGATTCTCTGGATTCCTTCAGTCATTGAACTGCTTCGTTTCAATCATGGCTTGATTGGATATCTCTTTCTGCCGAGAAACCTGCTGAGATGTTTGAAAAGGTGATATTTTGTAGCGAAATAGTTCGCTTAATACGGTGGGTAAAGAATGTCTCATACCTTATTTGGTCCATTTTCTCGGAAACGATGTGTACAACACAGAGACAAGCGTTACTGTCGAATATGGTTGAATCCACCTTAAAGTTAACCTTAAGCAACCTTTGGTTTAGCGTACTCCCGAGGCACGAACTATTGTTGTCAGATCAGCAGTGTAACAACGCTCAGCCCAGTGACCCGATTCATGGCCGCCTTGAACCAGACTGTCAACTTCAGGGCGTGTCAGTCTTTGTCATTGAACTGACTGGCTCAATTTGGTGCCACTCAAAACCAATTATCGGTTCCATATTTCGCGTGTACCAATTCGACATAGAAGTTATTTCATGCGCGAAGCGCGAGTACTTGTCGCTAATACTGAAAGATCATAAGATCGACGCCCTTTCCCTACAAGAAATGCACACCTACGACGAAGCTAAGGTACCACGTTACAGAAACAGTGGTGACGAGCTTGTCACCGCTGTACATCATCCGAAACAAGGATTCGTTACCTTCGTTCGGCGAGACTTCCTGGATATCGCTGTGCTCCATGAAAAAAATTCAAATGGTATTAGCATAGCAGCTGTGAAGGCCGCCAACGTAGAACTGGCGAACACTTCATTCAAAACCTGAAATCAGACATCGTTATAAATTTGTTTTCAAAAATGTTGGTTATTACCAAAGGTTAGTTCCGCTATTAGGGGTTTGCTAGCAGACTGCTAGTTTTCAATCCTGACGACAAGAATGACTCTCCTGTCACTCCTACGGACTGACGTCTATTGTTGGTATTTGAACATGCGTTTATTCGACCCTGATGCTGTTTTTCGCCCATGCATTGCAGGTGTTAAATTATCATGGACCCGTGGCCTGCTTAAAACATCCATTAGGCTAGCAGAAGCAATGAAGCGGTGTAATTCATGATAACTTTAGTTTAAAATTAATTGAAGCACGTGCTAAAAATAATGCATAACTTATCCGCATACACGGCTATGCAGAAAAAATAATCGCAAAGCAACACATACGGATAACCTCCAGAACCGTTGTAACAGCGTGATATGTGTGTCTGAATGGACGGTACCTTATTCTAGAGATAAGTTCTTTGGAATCAGAAAATTTCGTCGTTGTATCGTGCACAGTAATATGGGCAGGAACTGGGCCTTGGAATGTTTCATCATATGCGGTGTGTATGTGGTGACTAACTGATGCGGTTGCGAAACTGCACTGCGTTATTAGTTCAGTTTTTCACTAGTTATTCAGTTGATCTGTACGAATTTGTCATTCATTCACTTTTATGCAGCCATCTGTTCCTTCCGGGTTGCTTGCAATGTGGCTTAAATAGGTTTATCCACGAATGCCTTTCTTCTGCTAATCTATAACTCTCACCTCTAGACAAGCCGTTTCGGTACAGCAAACTGGTATACATTTATCAGAGTCAGTAGAGCGTAAAGTGGGGAGCCACCGTTGCAAAATGCTCCAAACTTACAGCGGTTTGTGTAAAAGACTACTGTACTGCTTACACACAATGATCACCCGTTAGCCAGGGCTTTCAGGACATCTTTTTTTACAGAAAATGAAGAGAACAAGAAAAAAAGGAGGAGTGTAATACAAAGAAGAAAAACAACGGAAGGAAAAATAGGAACGGCAAAAAAATAAACATAACGGTTCTTTCTTGCATCTTTATTCAGCCTTGTTTACCAGTCGCTGCGTTTACAAAATTCAGGTGTAAGTCGAGCCTCAACTAACAGATTTAATTTTAGGAGCTGAGCTTCATTATCTTTGTCTGGTGACCTCATGTGTTTGCATTGGAAGAATCGAAGACTGTGATGTGTATAGAATAACTGATGTCGCGTTCGTCAGTATGTGGGGCAGCTACGCTGCTCCGTCGGACGGTCGGATCAACGAAGTAGGCACATTATCCACTGCTCAAAACGACTGAATTTTTTTTTGGTTATAGATTCAAAAATTTCTCTGCGGAGGAACGTTTTATTTCGCATCGTCCGTCAGCGATGGCCCTGTGATTGATCTCTGTTTAACGACACAACAACGCTATCAAAAGCAAGAATTCGGAAACAGGTTTTTCTGGTAGGTAGATGTATTAAAAGAATTGTCTTGAGCTTCAAAGTTTAAAACTTGCATCGACGTTTTGAAAATATAAAGCTGAGCCCTTTCGCGCATGTGGTGCCTTCAAGGGCAGCCGATATCTGTTGTCGTTACCCTGAACCGTGATCTAAATAGCTTGAGTTTAAGGAGCAGTGTCACACTGTGTAGTCATCCATCCAACTTTACATTTTGCAGGTTCAGGCTCAAAACACTGCTAATGCCATTGAGCAACTAATTCACTCCGCCACCCTTCGTTCAGCCAGCTGAGGAACGAACAGAAAGTTGTCACGACCAGAGAAAAACCGTTCACTTTGGTTTAAGAATATAATGACGCCGTCTCATAACATAATAAGGTTGTTTGTGTATCCAATATGCCAGAAACAGTCGCGATACAGAACACAGATTCAAAGAAGTATTTGATATTGTAAAAACGTTCAGTCCCACACTTTTCATCAGTGATTGACTCTGACAGAACAGGGCATGTTCATGCCTGAGTGGAATGATGTTTTTAATGACACTTGCGTTTAGCCTTGTCTGATCAATACGGCTAATCTCCTTTCAAGAATACTTTAGTAAATCAATTTGAAAACGAGGTCATGATATAGTTTTGTAGACAGACAGATAGACAGCAAAATTTCTTAGAGGACCTTAAGGCAATGATGATTCGCGTATATGCCATCCTCTGTTCAGAAGGATGACGATATGGTGGTCATACCGAGATTACATTTTCACATCAGATTTCCTGGGTTTTGCCTATCCTAATCGCGAAGGATGTTATTTCCGCCATTTGTTGGGATTTTTTATCAAGCGTCATTCCTCTGATCTTTTCGTCTGTCTGATTGGTCGTAGTTGACTATTGAAACAGAGCAAAAGTTTTCACGTGCTCTCTTAGGGACTTGATACTTACAATAGCCCCCACCTGTTCCTTCCATATTCTCAATCCGAATGTCCTCTGAAAGACAGATCTGTTTTATGTGCGTAAAAAGCGCTATCAACCAAAACTTTTGCCGACCATTTTTAATGTCGCACGACAGGCCTTCGCAGCTGACACGAGGTCTTAGAAATATGCACGTTGCAGTACTCCGCCCTGTCACGGGATCCATTAGGTTGATCAGTGTCCGCTCCGTGAAACATTGATGAATTGTGCTGGCCGAAACAGCGATAGTCGGTGTTGAAGCAGCGAGAAACGCCTCAGAATTCCCTCTTCATTAAGTGGTACGATGTTTAGTCATCCTGAAGCGTTGGGAAATAACCGTAACGGAATACCACTCGTGCCAATAGGATCATAAAAGATCCTCTAGAAAGCTCGTACGATTGCAAATAATACCGTCTACCCTTGAATGGAGGTTCATGTAATATTTTATTCGCACTTCATTAATGTTTAGGAATCGTTCATTGCATCTGCCGTTCAAGCGTTACGGTATCAACACGTCGAAATGGCTTATCCGCTGTATTTGTGGAGGCGTGGAAATCAAGACCGTTTATGTTGGTCATCAGCAGGCAAAAGCGTGTCTGATATCGCGCTTGAGCTGTGAACGGATGGGAACCAGGTTCAACGTTCGCGGTGTAAATGACTTTGGGCATGTGGCAAATTTTGTCGAGTCTGAACAGGTAGGTGACTAACCGACGGTAAATGCAAATTGTCACTAAATGTTCCTCTGCGATTTAGGTCCTCTTTTTTAATCGGTACGTGGTGTCGTTCCTGCAAACACGAGGATCTGTGCCACTGTTTTGGGAACAGCCCGGCGTTCAGGTCGGGTCTCACAGGGTGAAAATGAGTCGTGGCTTCGAGGCGTCCGCTCCCGCTTATGATCGGTTAGTTACTCTAACAGAGTTCGTTGCATATTTTGGCAAACTTTATAAGACTTTTAGGCATTTTTTTGCAATGCGCAAATACTACAAGCAAGTGGCTATCGTGAACCTTCTCGGTGCCAAGGAAGGCGAGGCTGTGCTTTCTTCCGCATACAAAGTTATTGTTTCGTCCTCAGGAACTTTTCTCCTTTTTAACTAAAACGCATTCAGCTTCACCACAAGGCTTCGGTACATGGTGAAACGGTGCCACTTGTGAATTTCGACTTCCACTCCGAAGTTCATATGAGTACTCGAGTCGAAGACCTTGCCGTTTTGTTGCGTAAGATGAAACCGGTCCTCGAAAAATTCGGCTTTTGCGTTGTCAGGGACAAGCAGGTTTTGAGGTATGTATTTTAGCTGTTTTAGCCGTTCTTGTGTCTCAAATCAGTTACCGCGAAGTTTATAAATAGGCTTAAGAGTAACTGCTCTGCTTTAGCAAGTTCGAGTCTACTCGCCCATACTCTAAGTGCTTTACTTTCCATTGGATATTTTAGGGTAAATATTTTCTGTTCTTTCGTATCACATTGTAATCAGGTGATTTATCAAATGACCGTCGAAAATTCCTACTTTGTCAAGACTGTTACGATAAAATGCACGTTTGTGAATACTACTTTTGTATAGACTGATTAAATGTCGCAAGTCTCCACTAAGGCCAGATTTCACGGCATATTGTACCGACGGATGCTCTTTATTGCCACGGGGCATTGAAGCCGGTCATGACCCCATGGTATTTTAATACCTACAGTGTCAGATGCCTCTTGCATTACAGTTACCTTACTTCGTTCACTACAGTTATTTTGCCCAAAGCAAGAACGATGTTTTCGAAGCTAGTACTCTTTATATCTGCTACTGCGTATACATCAAATTATATTCCTAGCCGCGTTACACTAAATTTCGTATATGCAGACTGATTACATGGAAGTTGCATATATGTTGAATGCATGTTAGTGTATTTTTGAAACGTACTTTTGGAAGGGTGCAGAGTTTCCTTAACAGATCTTTAAGCACTCATGTCCGTGGCATTACTGCATTCGTATAT